ATGTATATATATTTGATTTTGAAAAATAGCATCTTAATTTTGAAAAATTAGACTGAATAAAACTCATATATGTAATAGTATAGATAATTGAGCATGGTGCCACAAGTGATATACTCTCTTGAAAGATAAATGTATCACTTTTTAGTAGGTTTACCTATTAAATTAAGAAATTTATGACTGTATTTTGGTCTGCAAAATTTTTGACCTATAATTCTCCTATCTATTATACGGATTAGATGGGGTTTATTTTACCTGGATTCTTAATTTCCTATAGAGACAAACCCCTATAGTTGATTACATCTTAGGAAATTGAAGCCACATAAGAAAACTCTTGATCAAGATCATGAGTTTTGTCTTCAAGAATTAAACGTTTAGCATTCACGATTGCTTATAAAAAAACTAAACAGGAATGACTCAAATATGAATAATTATACTTCTGGAATTTAAAGGAGGAGTGAAAAGTAGGAGATGTCACAGATTATGATGAGAGACCTCAATGACCTCCCAAACTATCATATAGTTTGGCTTACATTTTTGAAATGATATTTATTTGGTGTTTACTCCTATAAATTATTAGAATTTTAAGACTAATATATGCAAGATATACGATCATGCAAATGACCCAATAAGATAGGAGAAATTGTGTCGTACTGAACGACGACATTCGAAATCCTAAAAAGAGTCAGGGCTTTTATCGCATGACTTAACTCAAACAAATGCCTAAAAGATAGCGTGAGAATTTACGTCGTTCTAGACAAATTACCTCGAAGTACTAAAGGTTTGAGCTGTTTAAGATTACAGAATGTTTAGTTGAGGATCATCCTTTTCTTTGTTGTTTTACCTTGATCGTCACATGAAATTGTCCTTCGTTCGATTTCATCCTCGTCTTGCTCTCCAAAAAGCTTGCTCTGAGCTCCTTGTTGTGGTGGTTTCGGGTTTTAATAAATTGTGTTTAGATATTCATTATTGTTGAGGCACTAGCTTTGTTGCAGGGTCCCTCCTCAACACGTGTCATACTGTTCTCTACCTTAGGGGTTTTTTATATGTATATTAAGTAATAGAATAATAACATTGCATGTATAAAAAAAATATGCACAATATGGCATAATAAGAAAAAATGTGCAGTAAAAAGCAAAGTGTTGTAAAAGAAGAAATGTAGTAAAAAAAAGTGGTAATGTGTACCTTTCGCCTCTGATGTTGCTGCACAATGGGTTAGTATTACAAATAAAACATACAAATATTGACAAGAATTAAACCAACATGAAAGATAAGGACATGTGTTTATATAAAAGATCAAGTAGTGCATATATGAAAGATCGAAGCTGGTCATAAGAATTCAAGTTCAGTGTAGGCTCAAATTCATAATTCTTGAGGGACATCTATAGGAAACCACAAGCAATTTGGTGTTTTTTTCCCGTCCAACCTCGGATGAAAGCTATTAACAAAGCAATCAAACGTGGGCAACTCCTGGCATGATTGAAATGATTAGTATAGGATAACATCCAAATTCTTAACTTATCAGGCATATAAAGTTAAACTTAGCAGTCAAAAATAGTAGTGTCACGATAAAAGGATTTTTTTTTGTTATGTTATATATATATATATATATATATATATTAGGCTGATGGAGATTGACCCTCACTTTATTAGCTCTATTTCTCGCGACATGGTATTTTGATAGAATAATTTAGTTACTAACTTGCATTGCCAATAAGCATTCTTTACTTGAATTACAGATTTCTTAGGTATCAATGCCCTGTTTGGTTGTTGGCCTAATGATTTCATTAGAGGTGGAATCGCTACAGGGTTTGTCTTATAATCTGAACTTCTTAATGGATGATTAATCCTACAAATTATCTTAAAAGATTTACAATGTTCATCAACTCATTTAATTATGGGTTTAACTATGTATTGATGTTGTATAATCCTAGGAATTGTCTTAAAAAATTTACAAGGATCTATGAAGCAGAAGAAAAGTAGTCTTTTGTCAACTGAGAAGTAGATTTCTTGGAAGTTTGGAATGACTGTTTTTATTTTGGGGAAAAATCAGTGTCATCAGACTTCATAATTTATTTTAATGTGAACATTTTTTTTTCCTTTCAGCAATGGTCTCTGCTAAAAGCAGTGCCGACTCAGAGAGAGTCTGCTACTGAAAGTATTAATGATGAAAATTCTGTTACTGTTACTCCCGATACTGTTTCCACAGAGAAGACTGATGACGCCCCTACTGCTAAGAATGATAATGATACGGCAGAGGAAAACAGTAGAGCTCCAGAGCCAAAAGAGTCGGAAGAAGAAGAAGCTGCTGAAGAGGATAAACCAATGATAAAGGTTTAAAATTCTTCAAGTGATCATTATTATTATTATTATTATTTTTTTTTTTTGCATTTATTGAGCTGTGAATACTGCAATATTGGTCGTCTACATGATAGCATTAATGTTATATTTTGTTTTTGCAGCTGGAAACCGCTCCATCGGATTTTCGTTTTCCAACAACAAATCAAACTAGGCATTGCTTCACTCGATATATTGAATATCATAGGTAATGGCATGAAAGGTGGCCTTATTAATCAATTTGTTTTACTTCATCAGTTCTACTATTACACTATGGATGTGAGATTGTGGTATACTTCCCGAGTCTTTAATTTCAATGGAATATGCTTTCAGGTGCATAGCTGCTAAAGGAGACGATTCTTCTGACTGCACCAAGTTTGCGAAGTACTATCGGGCACTTTGCCCTGGTGAATGGGTATGCTCCTTCCATCAGCTTCCATTAAGAGCATCATTGAACTCAATATTTATCTTTTGAATTGCGTTAAGAAATTGTTTTTTCTTTCTTCTGTGTTAAAAAGTGTTGTGTCTTCGTAATGCAGTTTAACAAACAACCAAAATCTTTAAATTTGGTTTTTATATATATATATATAAAGTGTGGTATTTGAAAATACCGCTCTCTATATCTGCTAACTGTACCTTTAGGGATCGGACCCGAGTCAGAGGGTCTTACGACCGACAATGCAGCTGCCTACCAACTGCCATCCTACACGCAGATAAATCTATATATAAATATGTACGTGGGGGTGTGTGTATATATATATATATATATATATATAGAGAGAGAGAGAGAGAGAGAGAGAGA